CTCACATCTCACTGCATAATGTTCAGAATGTCCAAGATAAAAACCAAAGTTACGTCTGAAGAGTCAGAGTTTCTCAGCTCTCAATGGAAATGACAGTCAATAGGAACCAGCTCAGGCCGACAGTCACTGTTGTTGCTCTGACGGAAAAGAGAAACAGTCTTGGAATGTGTGGGAAGACTGAACATCTCCGCAGAGAAATAGAGGTTTAAAGAAAACCAAATAGATAATTTTAAATTGAAAAATACAGTAATCTAAATAATGTATTATATGGCACAACTGTAGAATGCAGATGAAATAGTGAACTTGAAGACAGATCAATAAAAAATGTCCATTCTGAACAGGAAGCAATTGAAAAACAGTAACAAAAACATGAAGAGAGTCAGGGGCAAATTCCAAAAGGTCTAATATTCTGTCATCTGAGCCTGGGAGAGCGGAGAAAGAGTGTGGCACAGAGGAAAAATAACTGAAGAAATACGGGCTGAAAACACCCAAATTTGGTGAAAGACAAACAGAGATGTAAGAAGTTCAGTGAATCCCAAACATATCACATCACAATCAAACTGGCAAGAATCAAAGTCAAATAAAAAAATGTCAAAAGCAGCCAGAGGACAAGGATCCAAATTACTCTGGTTTCTCACCAGAAACGAGGGAGGTCAGAAGGAAGTGCTCATTGTTCAGACGCTGCGAGAAAAGAACGTTTGACCCAGAATTCTCTATTCAGAAAAAAAAAAAAATCCTTTAGGAATCAAGGCAAAATAAAGACCACCTCAAATGAAAGGAAGCGAAGCGAAGTCACAGCAGCCGTGCTCCTCGACAGGAAATACTAAAGCCAGTTCTTCTGCTGGAAGGGAAGTGGACCAGAGAGCAACTTGGGACCCCAGGAATGAAGGAAAAACCAACAGAAATGGCCAATATCTGGGTAAATATAGATATTTTTCTTAAGTTATTTGAAAAGTGAAAGTTAGCAAAAAAATATAACTGGTGGGGTTTTAGTTGTACTGACAACTACAGTGTAAAAGAGGGAGACCGTAGTGAACTTGGTGGGAAGACTTCCGTGTTCCACTTAGGGTGCTAAAATATTGATCTTAAGGAGACTCGGACAAGTTACATATATTATAGTCCCTACAATAGGCTTTTTCAACCGCAGCACTATTGATACTTTGAACTGGAGAATCCCTTATTGTGGGGGACTATCCTGGTACTTCAGGATGTTTAACAGCAGCTATGGCCTCTACACACTAGATACCAGCAGTGTTCCTCCAGCTGTGACAACTAAAAATGTCTCCAGAAATTGCCAGATGTTTCCTTGGGCAAGGGTGTGAGGATGGGGTCATAATCACTCCCATTTGGGAATCAATACCCTAGAGCACTAAAAGAACTATACAGGCCAAGCACGGTGGCTCACGTCTGTAATCCTAGCACTTGGGGAGGCCAAGGCAGGTAGATTGGCTGAGCTCAGTTCGAGACCAGCCTGGGCAACACGGTGAAACCCATCTCTACTAAAATACAAACGTTAGCCGGGCGTGGTGGCAGGCGCCTGTAGTCCCAGCTACTTGGGAGACTGAGGCAGAAGAACTGCTTGAACCTGGGAGGCAGAGGTTGCAGTGAGCTGAGATCTCGCCACTGCACTCCAGGCTGGGCAACAGAGCGAGACTCCATCTCAAAAGAAAAAAAAAAATATACACACACACACACACACACACACACACACACACATGAGATACAGTGAAAAATCAGATACATTAAAATGGGATGTTTTTAAAATTTCAAATAATCTAAAAGAAGGCAGAATAAAACAGTAGGGACAAGCTGAGAACAAAAAAAATTAAAATGGTCGACCTAAATTCAAACATGTCAATAATAACATTCAATGTAAATGGCCTAACCATACCAATTAAAGGACAGCAATGTTCAAATTAATTTAAAAGGAAACCCAAGACTCAGCTACCTGCTGTTTACAGCAAGCTCACTTTAATTACATCCATGGCTGATGCCGGGGTGCAGGGATATACTGAGCAGGAGGCCATGCAGTGAGATTAAAAATAAGAGGATGGAGAAAGATATACTATGCATATATGAATCAAAGAAAGCTTGGAGTCACTGTATTAATACCAGGCAAAGTAAAGGACATTTGCCTTGAATAAAAAGGGACATTGCGTCACGATAGACCGGTGAATTCACCAGGAAGATACAACGGTTCTGAGTGCGTCTGCACAGAACCCCCAGCCTGGAAGTCCGTGAGGCCAGAACTGATAGAAATGGAAAGACAAATGTCCGGTTACACTTAGGGACTCCAGCTCTCCTCAGTAACAAACAGAAAAAGCAGACAAAGGTAGCAAGGATATAGAAAACCGGGGCATCCTCAACAACCAAGTGAACGTACGATTCTTTTCAGATCCCATTAGGTCTTCACCAAAACAGACCATATCCTGGGTCATGAGAATTTTTTAAAAGAACTGAAATTGTCCAGAGTATTTTCTATGAATATAGAATTCAGCTAGAAATTAATAGCAGAAACAGATCTTAAGTCTCCAAAGATTTAGAAGCTAAACAACACACCTTTAAACAATCTGTTAAAGATGTCTCAAAGCAAACTATGGAAAATATTTTGAACTGAAAAATACAACACCATATCAAAATTTGTGGGATGCAACTAAAGCAATGCTTAGAGTTAAATTTGTAGTATTAAATACTGATTTTAGAAAAGGAAAGTTCTCAAATCATCAATCTAAGCTTAAGAAACTAGAAAATGAAATGCAAAGTAAACCCAAACAAGCAGAAGGAAGGAAATAACGGAGCTAACACCAAGCAACAAAAATGAAAACAAAACTGCAGCAAATATAAAAAACCAAGCCTAAAGCTGGTTCTTCGGAACAAATCATTAACTGAGAAACCGGTCGCCAGAGTGACAAGAAAGCACAGATCCCCAGTATTTGGTATGAAGAGGATATTCTGTAGGCCCCACAGGCATCAAAAGAGTACAGTGAACAACCTCATACCCATACATTTGAAAATCTGGATAAAATGGACCAATTCCTTTAATCCAAGAAGAAATAACTTGAATATCTATTAAATAATCCATATCTATGAAGGAAATTTTAGATGCATAATCGAAAATCTGAAAAGGCTCTTTTTCAAGGGAAGCCAGAAATTGTGTGTCTGTGTGTGTGGGGTGTGTGTGTACACAGTTATCAACTGATTAAAAACAAAGTGTTGAAACTCAAGTGTGAGCCGATGCTGCACGCCAAATAAAGCCACAGGCTTTGTGTGGGAAGCAGCCCGTCCCTGAAGCAGGCATGGCCGCCTTTGTGGCTCTCAGGCCTTGAGTCTTGTTCACAAGCACATCCTGGGAAATCTCAGCCGTGTGTGAAGGTCAGGCGAGCGCTCTGTTTCCCATCCCGGTGTGAGGGGTCAACTGGAAGCTGTGTGGGGCGACGGTGGGGTCACCGCGCGATTCCCGGGCGCGTGCTGTGCGCGTGGCTAGTGCGGGAAAGGTGGGTGCCTTTGCACTGGGGCTGTGGTCCCAGACCCGGAGCCCCACCCCAGGTCAGCTGTACAGCCCTGCCCACGCCTAAAGGGGGATTCCAAAGCCTGGGCTGACTGCTGGGGTGTGTGGGAGGCCAAGGTGCCCACACCACCTTCCCCCAGTGCTACCCAGGCCTGTCTTTTTGTCTGTGGAAAAGACTGGATTTTGTGGAGCTGGAGCTGCATCCAGGGGAAGACACATCCCAGAGAATAAAAACTGGGAGGAAAATGCACCCTGGGGGTTGGGGGAAACCTTTGTAATTCAGCTAAACCGACCCAAGTGGAAACCGTCCCAAAACCTCCTGGTTTTTCCCAGTGGGTGTAATGATGAAGCCAGATTTATGCTCTGAGGCCAACAAGATGCTCCAGAGCTGAGCACTGTGGGCTTAGGAGAGAGAAGGGGGTGCAGATGCCGGCTGTCTCCTGCGGGTTCCTAGCTCCAGCCCTGACCCACACACCTGGCCACGGCTGTGCCCGAAGACTGTCGCACAGGGCGGCTGTGGCACCCAGGCCACTTCAGGGCAGGCGCCCACGCTGGCTTGTGAGCGGGATGGAGGCCCCGGGGTGGGGGACAGCTGTGTCCTGTCCTTTCTGTCCAGGCAGTGCTCCCCGCCCAGGCTCTGCCTCTGGCTTCAGGAGCTGCGGAAGGGTCAGTGACCACTGATTTAAACATTTCACGTGGGAAAACAGCAGCACTCATGTTCACTGCTAGGCAAGCCGGGGCATGAACATGGCGGTGGGGGAAGTGTGTTTGGACTAGGATGGTGGGTGGCAGCTGCTCCCTGTTCACTCCCGGAAGGGAAGGTTTGAGCCAATCACCAGGGAGGGAGGCCTAGCCGGCAGAGACCCAGGAGCAGCTGCTCCGCTCTGCTGTGTGCCTGGAGGCCCCTATGTGCGTCCTCAGCACCCTCCCAGGCCTGCCCCCTCCCAGAATCGCCACCACCCACCAGAGGCCCTGACCTCGAGTGCTCGCCCTGCCGTCCCCTGTAGCCTCCGGCTGGTCTCGCTGATAAGAGGCCCTGACCACCTCAGCTGCCCACCCCTGCGGTCCCCTGTAACCTCAAGGTGGTCTCGCTGTCAGAAGCCCTGACCTCCTCGGCTGCCCACCCCTGCCGCCCGCTGTAACCTGAGCTGGTCTCGCTGTTCTTGGGCATGCAGTGCTTGAGTCGGAGCCCCTGGAGCCCCAGCCAGGCGGCAGCTCCTGAGGCCACAGAGAAGTCAAGGGACGGGTTGTGTGGGACAGGCAGGGTCAGCGTGTGTCCTTTAGCCCCCTGGGGTGTCCCTGATTCCTTGGGGTAAGGCAGCCCTCCCCACCCAGGCAGGCCCCAGCCTCCCAGGGTATCCCCCTGACCCCCTGGGGTGTTCTTGATCCCTGGGTCACCCCGTGGACTGCCTGGGTGTCCCCTCGACCACCTGGGTGCCCCGAGCCCCAGGTCACCATCCTCCCCACTGACTGCCCGCTTGTGTCTTCACAGCATCAAGATGGTGCTCATGTGGACCAGTGGCGATGCCTTCAAGACGGCCTACTTCCTGCTGAAGGGCGCACCTCTGCAGTTCTCCGTGTGTGGCCTGCTGCAGGTGCTGGTGGACCTGGCCATCCTGGGGCAGGCCTACGCCTTTGCCCGTCACCCCCAGAAGCCGGCGCTGCACGCTGTGCACCCTGCTGGCACCAAGGCCCTCTGAGAGTGGGGAGGACAAGGATGTGGGCCAGCCAGCCACGGGCACTGGTGGGTGCTGTGGCCGCCGCAGGTGTGGGGAAGACAGGGTCCGGGTGTTGGGGTCTCCAGCCTCTGTGGGGTCTCTCCGGGTGGGCGGTGGGGGTGGGACAGCCAGGGTGGATCTGAGCCCCAGGGTTTCAGATGTTTTTAGGGTGATATAAAAAGGAAGTGTTTTTCCCGTTTCCTCTTACGAAACACCGGCTGAGCCCGAGGTACACACGGGGCGGTGGAAGGCGGCGGCAGGAACCTGCTCCAGGTGGACCCGTGGGGTGACCTCAGGAGACCCTGCAAGTCCTGTGAGCAGAGCCGTCAACCCCGCGACATCCTGGTCAGACGCTGCTTGGACTGGGGCGGCCTCTGCTGCCCGGGGTCTGGCACCGCAGAGGGCGGGGCTTTCTCTGCCTGGTACACATGGAAAGGCGCTGTGTGGACGCAGGGTCGCCGTGCTCCTGGTGGAAAGGCGCTGCGTGGACGCAGGGTCACCGTGCTCCTGGTGGAAAGGCGCTGCGTGGACGCAGGGTCACCGTGCTCCTGGTGGAAAAGCGCTGTGTGGACGCAGGGTCACCGTGCTCCTGGTGGAAAGGCGCTGCGTGGACGCAGGGTCACCGTGCTCCTGGTGGAAAGGCGCTGCGTGGACGCAGGGTCACCGTGCTCCTGGTGGAAAAGCGCTGTGTGGACGCAGGGTCACCGTGCTCCTGGTGGAAAGGCGCTGTGTGGACGCAGGGTCCCCGTGCTCCTGGTGGAAAGCAGCTGTGTGGACGCAGGGTCCCCGTGCTCCTGGTGGAAAGCAGCTGTGTGGACGCAGGGTCACCGTGCTCCTGGTGGAAAGGCGCTGTGTGGACGCAGGGTCCCCGTGCTCCTGGTGGAAAGCAGCTGTGTGGACGCAGGGTCCCCGTGCTCCTGGTGGAAAGCAGCTGTGTGGACGCAGGGTCACCGTGCTGCTGGTGGAAAGGGGCCGTGTGGACGCAGGGTCGCCATGCTCCTGGTTTCTGGCAGTTGGCGTTTCCTGGGCCTCGAGAGCAGCTGCCAGGCCCGGACGCCTCGTGGCTACGCTGTGTCCAGCCCTGCTGAACATCACCAGGGGTAGCTCACGCTGCTCTTGTCGGAGCCTCTGGTCCTCCTTGAGTCCTTGGGGATGTGGCAGATGCCAGCGACCATCAGACAACGTGGAGGTCTCATGGGTGAAGGCTGCGGGGGCCGTGCCGAGGCTGTGCACACGCAGTCCGCACGCCACCCTTGGGCCTGGCAGAGAGCCCCTTCCTTCTGGGCGCCGACTGCACCTCCGGATACAGCGTTGATGTCCATTTTCCAGGAGAGAGGCGGCCTCGGGTCCAGGGAGTGGAGGGGCTGCCCCTGCCACGCAGGTCCCGGCCGATGGCCCCTCACCCTGCCGCCCTGGGCTTTTGGCCTGAAGCAAATTCCTGAGTGGGAGTGCCAGGGCCTGCCACATCCTGTCCTGTCCACTGCCTGCCCCCTTGTGCTGGCTCCCACAGTTCTGCTACAGTGGGAGCTGCCAGTCTGACCCTTGTCACCCCACGCTCTGCCCCCACCCCGTTTTCAGTTTAGCACGAGGTCACACTGTCAGCAGCCCTGCACTGACCGCAGCCGGCGCCCAGTCCTCAGCGTTCTGGATGCTTCTGTGCGGCTCCAACAGGCATCGTCTTCCCTTCCGCGGGCGGAGGGGCCGCTTCCCGCAGGCGTCTGAGCTCTATGCCGGGGCTGTGGCTGTGGCCATGGGAAGATGTTCCACGCTGCCGCCCCCTGAGTCTTCCTCGGAAACACTCTTGAATGTCTGAGTGGGGGTCCTGTTTAGCTCTTTGGCCTGTGAGATGCTTTGAAAATTTTTATTTTTTTAAGATGAAGCAAGATGTCTGTAGCGGTAATTGCCTCACATTAAAATGTCACCGATTGCAGGCACGGTGACTGCTGAATGTATCCCGTGTGGTGACTTGGAATCAATAAACCATTTGTGGATCCCGTGTGGTATGAGTGGGCCCCGGGCAGAGGGAAGGATCTGGCTGTGGTCCTGGCCTCTGCCCAGACACACGCTTTAGCCTGGGCCACCGTAGAAGGCTCCTGTGTGACCCGGGTTCCTCCAGGGCCCCCAAATGACAGCCCAGCCCCCTCAACCTGTCACTACCCTTTGCCTGTGGGCCAGTGGCCCAGGGGTCCTTTCGGCTCGTCACAGACGGGTCTGGCTGCCCTGGCCTCTGCGGTTCACACATCCGCCCTTCTGCCTCCCACCACTGAAGGCTCAGAGCATGGGAAAGGCCTCCTTTAAAGGCCAAGAGAAGCGTTTCCAGATTTGTGATCTCGAAGCAGCTCATAGAGGCGGAGCTGTGTGCGCACTGTGATTTTTTCCGTGCAGTGTTTACACTGAAGGCAAGATGCGAGTTTCTTTGTCCAGTAAAACCAGTCGCGTGGGTGCAGGGCAGGATTTGGGTTGAAGGGTCCATCCGGGTACTAGGAGAGGGCACAGGCCACATCCAGGCAGCAGCCTGGGGGAAGATGGGAGATGAAGGCCAGCGTGTCTAGAACGTCTCGGACACAAATCGCCCTCCTCAAGTGCTGGTGGGTGGTGCCAGATGAACCAGAGGTCTCGCGCAGGGGTGGGGTTGTGCGTCTTCAGGGTGTGGAGACAGGCAGTTCTTGGGGACCACTCTGGGCCACCGGGTTTTAACAGGAAATGGGGGCAAGGTCTCAACCCCACACTGTGGGAGCCGTGGGGGGTGGGGGCAGCAGTGGAAATAGCTGCGTTTCTCAACTCTCAAGGCACTGCCACCCTGCGATGCCTTCTGATAGTTTTAAGCAACAAAGCACCACCAGGGAAGCAGGAGGCCGAGGAGGACTCCCAGTGAGGGCCCCTCCGTGGGAAAGAGCAGGTCGTGGGAGCCTGAGAAGTTCATATTCCTGTCACCACATGAGGAAACTGAGGCCTGCCCTGAGCCCCAGCCCTGTGCCCTTCCCAGGGGCCTGAGAGGGTGGCCCACAGGGCACCTGTAGAGGGAAAAGGATGCCCAGGGGCTGGGTGGGCACCTGCTCAGGAGGAAATGTACCCCCACCCCAGTCTCAGCACAAGTGCCCGGCACCCCCATCCTGGTGACCCAGGGTGGCCTCTGGTGGGCCTGGTCTTGGAGGGCCCCGGGGCTCCCTGGCCAGACCCTGCAGCCCAAAATGGGGAGGGGCAGGTCCAAGACTCCCCATCCCCCGACATTCCCCACCTCTGACCTGGCCCTCCGTGGAGGAACGACTTGGGTTTATTTCTGGGGGTCTTCATGGTGGTCAGCACCTCACCGCACAGGAGGAATTCTTCTGTCTTTGGGGGTCACCAGCAATGCTGGGACAAGCAGCAAGTAGGGGGCACCGGCCTCGGCGCGTGGCCCCTCGGGCTGTCCTCTGCGTGGGCCTCTCAGACCAGTACCAAGCTCTGCTCATTCCTGAGCAAGACCCAAGGCTGTCACTGTGAGAGTGGCCCTCAGTGCAGAGCCAGACCCCAGGCCCACCCGCGCTGTGTGCCTGGCGTCCATGGACCCTCCGCGTCATGGGCACCTGGGGCACCAGCTGACCTGGCTGTTGGGGGAGGCAGGTCTGAGCCCCACGTGGTCCCGGTGGGTTGCTGCAGGTCTGCTATGGAAAAGGACTGGGGCTTGCACTCAGGCACTCACCGGGGCCATGCACAGCTCCCCTTTCTCCACACCTGCGTCCCCTACAGACTCCTGCTGTGTGATGGACAGTGGGACCCTCTGGTGAGGCATCCCCCTTCCGCTTCGGGCTGTGGCCATCATGTCTCAAGTTTCCTGGATGAACTCATCAAAATGAACGAGTGCAGAGCAGCGCCGTGTGGAAATTTCCTTCCTCTCCACCTGCAGAAAGGCCCAGAAGGCGGCCATGGAAGGGTTGCAATGCCACACGCAGACCTTATGCGGAGGGAGTGTCAGGAGGCCCTTGTCACCCTCCCTGAGGTCAAGAGTTGAAGATTCCCCAGGGAGGTGGTGTCAGGGAATGGAGGTTAGAGGTCAGGGCTGGAATCCTCTTCCCTGACCACCAAAAGGGCAGTTACTGGGGCGGCACTGGGGGTGCTGTGAGCGTCGGCTCAAACCTCTGTCCCATCCCTGGGAAGGTGATGTGGCCTTGGGCAGAGGTGGATGCGGAGGGCCTCCTTCCGTAGGGTGCCCATTCTGGGTGCCATGGGGGCCTGGCAAGGGCCGCGCTACCCCTTTCTCCCTGGCCGGAGGCAGGAAAAGTCGGGGGCGGGGACGAAGTCATCCACAGTCGGTGTGGAACTTCTGGGACTTACTAAATTTATTTTTATCTAGGTATAGAAAATTAAAAATCCAAAGGAAGAAGCAGGGCAGGAGGACACAGGCCAGTGACTTCGCCCAGCGCTGCCAGGGGAGTCAGGCGGGGCCCCGCCGAGTTCTGGGGCTGCTCACACAGGAGGGCCGAGGATGCGGCCGGCAGGAGCCGCTCCCCAGAGCCAGACGACCCCCGCCCTCGGCGCGCCTCGGGGGTCCCGACGCTGCAGCTGGAGGGGGCGGGGGATCCCCGTGCGGGCGGCGCAGGCGTCAGCGCTCTGCCCGCACCCACAGCGCGTCCGCGGAGTCGGCGGCCTCGCCCGCCCCGTCGGGGCCCTGCGAACTGTCCTCGGTGGCCGTGGCCGAGCGCGTGCTGTCCTCCCGCAGGGCCGGCTCGGGGCTGGTCACGCGCTGCTGCTGCTCCTTGAGCTCGGAGTAGGAGCGCGAGAAGGTGTGGAAGATGGAGGTGACCGGGAAGGCCATGAGCAGGATGCCGCTGAGGATGCTGCTGAGCGCCACCACCTGCCCGGGCAGGCTGCGCGGAACCATGTCGCCGTAGCCCACGGTGGTCATGGAGATGACGGCCCACCAGTAGCTGGCGGGCACGCTGGAGAAGTCGCGGCGCGCGCCCAGCTCGCGCTCGGCCAGGTGCACCAGCGGCGCGAAGAGCGCCATGGCCACGCACAGGAACAGCAGCAGCAGCCCGAACTCGCGCGCGCAGCGTTGCACGGTCAGGCCCAGCGAGCGCAGCCCCAGCGAGTGGCGCGCCAGGCGCATCACGTAGAGCACGCGCAGCGCGCGCAGCAGCCGCAGCACCAGCCCCGCGCGCTCCAGGAGCTTGGTCCCGCCCGAGCCTGCCGCCAGCCCCAGCAGCAGGGACACGTAGAACGGCAGCAGCGCCAGGATGTCGATGATGTTGAGCGGCGCGCGCAGGAAGGCGCACTTGCTCTCGGCCTGCAGGGAGCGTAGCAGGAACTCGAAGGAGAACCAGGCCACGCACACGGTCTCCAGCACGAACAGGCTGCGGCACTTGGGGGAGCACTCGCCCTGCGGGGGAAAGGGGACGTGGGGTTGGGGGCGCAGGCCTGTTGGAGGGCCGAGGCGCTGCGCCCTTCCTTCCCCAGGACCAGAGGCATCCCCAGGCCACCCTTCCCGCGCCAACCCACGGAAGCGGGTGCAAGGGATATTGACAAACAGGCCCAGTTCCTATTGGAAAAAAAACAAAATGAAAAACCAGCAAGATTTAATGGTGATCACTTCGGGCCTGAGAGCGGATGCCCTTAGCTGACCCAGGAAACTGGTGAAAATAATGTTTAAACCCTTGACCTTTTAAAGCCTTGGGAAATGATCTTAAGAGCAAACAGCAAACACAGAAACATCTATTTATATGTGAACATTCTGTAAGAAAGAGCATTTGTGGTATCTGTGTCAAGACTGCATCCTCCTCCTCAGCTTGGCCAGGAGGAGACTCCGTGTGGAATGGCTGCAGCCACGGACACAGCCCTCCCACCCCCACCCCACCCCACCCCCAGCTCCCAGTCAGGGGGCTTCTTCCCCCAGAAGGGACCGACATCACAATCTCACATTCTGCCCTCAGCTCCTGGGGCTACGTCCTTGGGGAGTCCGGTGGAGGGTGGGGCTCCCTCCTCCTGCCCAGTCCCCACTCTCGTGGGTGGGAGGCTGGCCTTGGGTGTCACGGGCGGGAGGCTGGCCTTGGGTGTCACGGGTGGGAGGCTGGCCGTGGGTGTGGCACACGGAGAAGATAGGGCCTGACTGCCCTTGCTGCAGTGATTCCAGGCCAGGAGAGGCCAATGAGGTCTCAGGCTGCTGCCCCCCCCCCGCCCCCCAATCAAGCTCTCAGCTCCTAGAGAGGGAGGGTGTCATTCACACTGAGGCTTGCCCTTGTCCCCATCCCCCGAATCCATGGTTCAGAGATTTCTGCCAGGAGGGAGATGCAGGAAGTAATCTCCTCTCAAAGGAACTGACCTCATTTGCAGCAGAACATGAAGAAGCTTACACCTAAGGACACTCTCAACACGATCAGGTGGAGGTGAAGTGAATTAGCAGATTCATGCGTCTGCTGACCATGTCGCCTAGATGCAGGCTGGCTAGGGTGCTGGGGAACGAGGGGAGAAGACAGCTGGCAGGAGCGCTCCTGGGGTCAGAACAATGTCAGGCTCTCTCAGAAAGCAATGAGAAGGAGCTGCAATATGATCAGGTTGTAGAGGAGTAACAGAGCTCTCAGCTGGCAACTTGGAGTTTTAACTACTGGGTGTGGTCAGTGAGACAGAGGAAGAGGTTGCTCCCCAAACCCTGTCATCCTAGGGTGACTGTGGCACACTGGCGCTGCCCCGACACAGAGACTGTTGCTGGGGAGGAGGAAGGGCGCACGGACATCACGACAGTAACCCAGCCAGTCACCAAAAGACTAAACCAGTGAGTAACAGGCCCAGGAAGGGGACTACCCAAAGGGCTAGAGTATCTTGTCTAAAATGTCTAGTGTCTAACAATGACAAGATGTGTGGAAGCGGAGGAGGGAAAGGAAGGAAGAAAAAGAAAAGGAGAGTATGACTCATACATCAGGAAGAAAGCAGGCAACAAAAACTGCTGTGAGAGTGACCAAATGTCAAATTTAACAGAATGAGATTTCAAAGCAGCCACTATCAGTATGTTCACAAAACTAAAGGAAGCATAAGTGAAAATGCCACAAATAGAGGCTGTTGGTAAAGAGATGGACATTTAAAAAAATACCCAAATGGAAATTCTGGAATTGGAAAGTGCAATAATTAAAATAAAAAAATTTAAAAATCACTAGAAAAGCTTAACAGTAGGTTTTAACCGGCAGAAAAAAGAATTAGTAAACATGAAGATAGTTTGACGGGAATTATGCTGAAGAACAGAGACAAAAAGAATAAAGCAAACAGCGCCTCGAGAAGCGCAGGACACCATTATATGCCCCCACATATGCATAATGGGAATATCCAAGGAGAGGAGAGAAGGGAGAAGAAAAACTATGCAAAGAGATAATGGTGGGAAAAAAAACTCAATTTATTAAAAACAATAACCTATATATCCAGGAAGCTCAATGAACTCCAAGCAGGATAAACACAGAGACCCACAGATGGACACATCATAATAAACGTAATGAAGGTCAAAGACAAGGAAAAAGCATGGAAGCAGCAAGAGCAAAATGAAGATCACTGACAAAGGAACTTCACAGATAAACAGCTGATTTATCAGCAGAAACACTGCAAGCCAGAAGGCAGTGGAATAGCATATCCAAAGTGCTCAAAGGAAAAAAACCCTGCCAATGAAGAATCCTATATCCAGCAAAGTTACTGTTGAAAAATTAAAGTAAAAAATAAACACTTTCCCAGGTAAACAAAAATTGAGAGAATTCACTGCTTAGCAGACCTGCCTCACAAGAAATACTAAAGAAAGTTCTTCAGGCTGAAAGCAGGTGACCCCAGATGAAAATGTGGATCGACACAAAGTGTTAGTAAAGGTTATTATGTAATTAGAAAAGACACTATAAATGCATTTTTTTCTTAATTGATTTGAACAGCAACTGTATAAAAATAAGATGTATATAATGTATTAAGCCTGCAGCATATAGAAATGTAATATATGTGTAATGTTTGCCAATAAAAGCCCAAAGGAGGTGTGTGGGAGCAGAGATGTGTGGGAGCAAAGGTGTAATGGTCTAAGGAAATGACAGATAGTGAAGCAAAAGCAATAATTGTAACAATGTGTATCACAACAATTGCACCAAAAGGGAGAAAAGCAAATACAGCTATACAGGCGTAACATCTTCATCTCACTGGAATTAAGCACAAACCTGAAGCAGGTTCTGATTATTTATGGTAAACTCCAGAGCAAACACTAAAATAAATAACTAAAAAAAACCTTTAAAATATCATTACTGGGCTGGGTGTGGTGGCTCATGCTTGTGATCCCAGCACTTTATGAGGCCAAGGCAGGTGGATCACCTGAGGTCAAGGGGTTCAACACCAGCCTGGCCAACACGGCAAAACCCTGTCTCTACTAAAAATACAAAAATTACTTGGGTGTGGTGGTGTGCGCCTGTAATTCCAGCTACTTGGGAGGCTGAGTCAGGAGAATCACTTGATCCCAGGAGGCAGAGGCTGCAGTGAGCAGAGATTATACCACTGCACTCCAGTCTGGGCGACAGAGACCTTCTCTCTCTCTCTCTCTATATATATATATACACACACACACACATACATATATTTATATGTATATATAAAAAATTAGTGCAATTAAAATGCTCCATAAGAAAATAACCAATGCAAAAGAAAGCAGCTAAGGAAGGATACAGAAACAACATGATCCGTGAGGCGCATGAAACAGAAAATAAGATGTGGCAGACACAGACCCAACTATATCAATCATGACATTAGATATGAATGGAGCGAACAACCCAATCAAAAGCACAGTGGGTTTTAAAAAATAATTGAACTAAATGTTGTCTACAGGAGACACACTTTAGATTCAAAGACACAAATAGATACAATGTAAAAAGATGGGAAAAGATGTATCATCCAAACAGCAACCACAGGAAAGCTAACAGACAAAGTAGATGTTAAAACAAAAAGTGTTATTCGAGATAATATGTAATGATCAACAGGTCAATCCACCAAGAAGATAAAACCATTAAAACATATGTACCAATGATACAGCAATAAGTAAATGAAGCAAAAACTGAACAGAAACAGAAATTGAGAAAGAGACATTCCATAATAATAGCTGGAGACTTCATTACCCCACTTTTTAATTTTAATTTTTATTGTTTTTTAGACGGAGTCTCACTCTGTCACCCGGATGGAGAGCAATGGCATGATCTCGCCTCACTGCAACCTCTGCCTCCCAGGTTCAAGCGATTCTCTTGCCTCAGCCTCCTGAGTAGCTGTGACTACAGGGGTGCACCACTGTGCCCAGCTAATTAATACTGCACTTTCAATAATGGACAGAACAACTATACAGGAGAGTCAAGGAAACAGAAGGCGTGAACACCACCGTAAGCCAAACGGACCTCACAGACATCCATAGAACGTGTCACCCAACAACGCAATATACATTTTTCCGATGTGCACACGGAACAGTCTGCAGAACAGGACATATACCAGCCATAGAACCAACCTCAACACATTTAAAAGGATAGAAATAATACAAGTATACACTCCATCCACAATATTAGAAATTAATGACAGGAAAAAAATTGGGAACCTCACAAATATGTGGAAATTAAACATATTCGTAGATAATCAAAGAGGTCAACCAAGAAATCAGAAGGGAGTCGGACTTGGAGATGAGTAAGAATGAAGACAGGACATATCCAGACTTACGTGGGGCAGCTAAAGTAATGCTCAGACGGCCATGCTCAGAGGGCCAGCGCAGCGGCTCATGCCTGTAATCCCAGCGCTTTGGGAGGCCGAGGCGGGAGGATCACTTAAGCTCAGGAGTTGGAGACCTGCCTGGGCAACATGGTGAAACCCCATCTCTGCAAGATACACAAAATTTAGCTGGGTGTGGTGGTACATGCCTGCATTCCCAGCTACTCGAGAGGCTGAGATGGGAGGATCCCTTGAGTCTAAAGGGTTGTGGCTTCAGTGAGCCGTGATGGCGCCACTGCACTCCAGCCACTATTATTTTTGAGACAGAGCGAGACCCTATCTCAAAAATAAAAATAAAATAAATAAAAAGAAAAAGTAATGCTTAGAGGGAAATTTGTAGCTGCCAATGCCTATAAGAAGAAAGATTCTAAATTAATAAGCTCACACTCCACTCTAAGATAACTGGGAAAACAAAAGTAAATAAAATTTAAAGCAGGCAGGGGAGGGAAATAACAGATGAGAGCAGGAACTAATGAAACAGAGAAGACAAAACCCATAGAGAAACCAATGAAACCAAAGGCTGGTTCTTGGAAAAGATCAACAAAATCAACAAATCTTTAGCTTGTTGGAGCAGAAGAAATTGAGAGAGAAAATTCCATTTTCTAGAATCAGAAATGAAAGTGGAGACGTAAC